AGAAAAGGGGGTTTTGAACAGATTTGAAAGAGCATTTCTTCGACAAATTCGTACGCATATCCGCTTTCTTAACACCAGTGACATTAACGTCGGCTTGCTTACAAGAATATGAACCTAAATGCAAAAGGATAAGACTAATTTAGAAGAGTATAGTATAAAAAATTTCAGACAGTTGGAGAGACTTGTAGATGTGTAAGACTATTCCATCAACACAACATTCTATCTCCTTTATTTCCATAGTTCACTTTCTTATCCTAGAGTTTATTTGGACTGGATAGACTGAAAACCAAGCAAATGAGAAAGACGAGAAATGATATTCCTTTTTTCAGCTTCCCTTGGCAGTATTTCTTCCGGTGGACAATTATCACTTCCTAGTCTATCACTTACTTAATCAAGGCTTAATAAGCAGCTTTTAAGATTCTATAACAGTGACGGCTAATGATCACACAATTCGACAACTATGAGCCACTTTGTACCCATACTTTTAAGAGTTTCCATAATCCAACCTCATTATTTCGGTGTACTACTTACTAAGGCATGCTAGTAGCATCTCGCACAGGCGTCCATAATTATTAAAATTATTGGGAATGGCTACAACCCCAGCAAGCATTTTCGTCTTGAGACGCTTTTGTGACAAATTTACAAACCATTGAGGATGCCAATCTTGTACTATTCGAACTCTGATTAGCTGATCTTAAAGTGAAGGCTCTTAACTAGTCAATCAGGTATCAAGGTAGCACAAGGCACATTGCCTTAGTAACTCCCGTCTGTGTCAAACTCCTGCCCATCAAATTGGTTTATACGATTTCACACCCGAAATCGTACACGGTTACGGGAGCATTGGAGCAAAATCCAGAGAACTGTTTGAACATGGACCCCACAAAATGCGTTTAAGAGAGAAATGGCTACCAATGTAGCATATCACAACCGAAACTGCATGTTATAGAAACTATCACTTAGGATGCTAATAACTTAACCCAAAACTAACTCACCTTGACGATGAGATAGATCCGCTCAGAAGGAGGTGTAATTTTGTTGAGCAGATCACTCTCGTGTAAGTTTGAGTCCCATGAGGCCAATGCTCCGATCAAGGTGGCGTAAGTTTTGATTAATGGGAGGGTGACAAATGCTTTTCCTTCCTTCAAAGCTGCCTCCTCACCTTCGAGATAGGAGTGAGCTCCTACCTTCAACGCTTTATTGAACACCCCATCTAAGAGGACAAACCACATATCGTGGACAGTTGTATGGACTTCTTTCAGGTTTTTGTAAGAATTGAAGAGCAACTACCACCTCAATCATTGCTGAAAGCTTGCCTTAACTTACCTCCAAGATCGGCAAATATAAGAGGAGTGTGCTGTTCGAGTCCTGGTGGTGGGTTTTCAGTGGCTGGGGCACCAGGAAGGCTGGAACCGGCTGCAGGCACAAGGATCGCATCTCGTTCCAAAATAGAGGATACCCAACGATTTAGAAGATAACCCTCCTTCGCTTCATCCACGGCTTCCTTATCTCTTTTCTTCGCTAACTGAAGACGAGACACAGACATAAGTACCTCTACAAAAAGGGAAACTCACTGCTTGCAAATTACTCTGCAGGTAAGACTGCCATTCGTCCATTGCGTTGCACCACTTGTGCCGCACTGTCTCAAGATCATATTCCTGATAAGAATCAGGAGAAGTATGGCTTTTGGGATAATGAGTAAAGCCATTTTCGAAATCAGCCAATGATCTTGTTACACAGCCTACAGACACCTGATATGCGATGAATGCATACGTAATTAATAGCAGCTACCTTAGAAACCGTTTCGCAAAATAGAGGTAAAACACCTCTCTCTCTTCGACTAAGCTCATTTGGACGAATTAGCACTCGAATACGTCGATTTAGACCCTGGCGAAGTTGGTAAATTCCTCCAGTTTTTACATCGGAGGAGGGAATGACCGGGACCTTCTTGAAGCTCCCCTAAAAGACAAACGTCAGTGAGTCTACTTACTTACTTTTAACAACTTTAAAATCCTCCAGTACTTTCCGAAAACGTCTTTTAAAAGTTAAAAAATAATCTCAATGCACAATAATAAGGCAAAAATAAGAGATCGTTGGGGCATCTATTTCTGTTTTAAACCACTAAAACAACGGACAATATTCTCCGCTTAATGGAGGAAATTTAAGTGGTAAAGGGTAAAGATATAATAGGATCAAATACTCATGGCTCTACCAACAACTTAATAGATGGGACATAATTAAGCCTATCAAGATCTAAGTAAATTACTCTTCTACTTAATTTATTATTAGTGGCACTGGCACCCAAGTGGACTAAAATGTCGGCATAGGAAGGCCTTAAAATAATTGTTTGCACTATATCGGACGCTTGGAATTCGGCAAAGATGACTGCAGTCACTTCCATTGTGATTTTACTTCCGCTTTCAAATTGAGTTCTGGGTTTGATTACATTCTGTAGATAATGAGAAATGTCATCCCACGGAATTTGTGT